TTTTTTAAGATTGCCTCTCTTTACAAAAGGTAACATAAACAGATTGATTACCTCCAATACCAATCAAAACAATACAAAAATGCAATCCACAGAAGAATCTTTTTACAGATGATCAATTAAAGAATTTAAATAATTAACTTAGAATTCTTGACTTCACATAATTCAAGTCCTTATTCATTTATTTATTTGAGACTAATGGACAGCTAATTTAGAGCTCAATTGAATGATTAAATTATCATAACTATTTAATGAAGAACTTAAATCATGAAACTAACTTCACATTTGCATCAGTGTTGCGAAAGCGCTAGGCAGTTTCACCTAGTGCCTAGGATGCCTTGCAGGCCTAGGCATTTTTCATTTCTTTTGCAATAAAATTAGAAAAATGGGAAAAATTGTATCTTGTCCACCGCCTATTGGCTAGGTGAGGCGGACCAGGTGGTCGCCCGCCATCTAGTGCCTGGACGCTAGTCTATGCGAGAAAGTCTAGTATATACAACGGGGATACCACGTCAGTTGGTACTTGGTATCCCCGTCCAGTAGTATTATTACAACTCAGTAAAAGATGACATTTCATCATCTAAAAAGACAAATAAGTTAACGGAGAATTTAACTTTCTCTTTCCTCTGCTTGTCTCATCCCCTTCTCTGTCTCCTTCCCCTAATCTATACTCTCTCTTATACAAAATTGTGTTTTTGATTCTTGATTTTTTATTCAAATAAGTCAACGCTAGGAAATGCCCAGACGTTGATTCAATTTTGGGAACCATGAAATTTGCAATCTTCATGTATTTAATCATCTGAAGATTTTCATTAAAAAAAAATCATCTAAAATTTTCTAATGCGTGGGATAATTAGAAAAATTGAGAAACTTTTTTTCAAATTGGAACATATAAAAGTGGCTTAAAGGTTGAGTTCATGTTGTCCAGGACACTCAAGTTGAAGATATAGCTGGTAGTATTATCTCTGTGAGAAGAACTGAAATTTCATATCAGTAAATTCAAAGGGGTTCTCTAATTTACATAAATCCAGGCATAGAGTTTGTCTTTTCTCCTAAATCCCAGACTTAAAAACCAACCAGATCTAAAATGACTCATATGTTGGACAGTTAAGGGGAAAATGGAAGGGATCCCATGGGAGCAAGCAGTGGTCAAGGATGAACAGGAGCAGGGGACATGGAAGATCTGGAGAAGATGGAGTAGAAAACAGAAGGCACCGTTAGGAACGAAGGGAGAGAGAGAAGACCTTGGCCAGAGAAATACTCCGTTACTTTTGATCTACATTAAATTTTTTGTTAGGTGAGGTGCATCGTTTGTAAAATAAGATGTCTTGTCTGGATAATAAAGTGGACTAGTTTTAGTGAGTTGTAATGATCTCATTGGATGGGGATACCAACTGACGTGGCATCCCCTGTTGTGTACTATACTTTCTCAGTCTATGCGCGCTATTTACAACATTGATTTGCATCAAATTGTCTAAGTCATGACTAAATGGTTGTAGTCTTTTTTTATTATTTTGCATTTAATGCAAATCTTTATCAAAGGCATACCTGCTATTGACTGGACCTTCAAATTACAAACAAATCCTATCTATTTTTCCATCACCTATTTTCAAAAAAAAAAATCCTATCTATTTTATTGCACTGAGTGGAACCCAAACTTCAAGCTAAGCTTTATCTGGTTTACATTATTTAGTTTTCTCTACTCTAGTGATCCTGGAGTAGAACTTCTGAAAATTCCAATCATCATATTATATCTTCTCTTTGTTTTCCCTCTTTAAAAGAAAGAAACCAAAAATTCCATCTTGCTTTTGTTCTGTTTTCCCCTTTCATCACTGTCTTTCCACCAAATAAAACAAAGAGCAGCAACTGAAGCCATAATAGAGATCGGAAAAGTCATGGAAGAGAAGAATGGACCAAAAGATGTCAGTATCCAAATTGCAAGCACAGAAGAGGGCTCTTCCTCTTCATCAAATATCAGGCAGAGAAATGTTTCCTTATCTGCAAGATCTCCTTCGGCTAAGCAGATTGCAAATCCAGACACACACACCCCTCAGGAAACAAAAGAAAAGTCAAACGACCAAGCCTCAACTCTTCCGGAAATTAAAAAATGGAGTAAGTGGACAACTCGAATCATTATTGAGTGGATTGTACTTGTTTGTTTTGCAGGATGTCTTATTGCTAGCTTAACTGTACATATATTTAAAAACCATGTGATTTGGGGTTTGGAACTATGGAAATGGTGTGTGCTCGTGCTGGTTACTTTTTGCAGTGGAATTTTCACTAGAGGGATGATGAATGTTGTTGTCTTTTTGATGAGGGGGAAGTTTGCTCAACATGAGATGGTTATATATGTTGTTTATGGACTAAGGAAGAGTGTTTGGTTTTTTGTGTGGCTGAGTTTGGTTCTTCTCACTTGGGTTCTATTGTTTGATAGTGGTGTTAAGAGATCAGAGCAAACTACAAGGATTCTGAATTACATCACGAAGACTCTATCCTCTACTCTTTTTGGGGCATTTTTATGGCTGATTAAAACTACTGTTGTGAAACTTTTAGCTATTAAGTTCCAGGGCAAAAGATTCTTTGACGACATTCAGAAAGCAATCCTTCATCAGCACATAGTTGACATGCTCGGGACCTTACAGGACCAATGTGATACAGTAGTCATTGTCAGGTGGATTTCCAAATTTCTAAATTGGTTAAAGGAAATGATGACCTCTGCATGGACCATGGAAGGGATAGATGTCATAAGAGGGTCAAGGTTGTCTATTCCGCCTTCAGGTGTAATTTTTGACAAAATTATAGAACATCAGAAGACTGGAGATCAGAAGACTGGTAACAAGTAAGTTTGTTCTCCTGTAATCTTGTCTTATTTGATTACCATAGCTTGTTCTGTAAATAATTTTGTTAATTGTCTTTATGATTAGATTGCCTAGTGGAGTTAAAAAGGAGGATACTGAAGGTGGCCAGGAAGAAAAAGTGGAGGATATTGAAAAGGAGCACATTGAAAAGGAGCACCTCTTGTCTTACCTTAAACAAGATAATGAAGCTAAGGAAGTTCTTAAAAAATGGTTTGAAGATGTTGAATCAAGTGGAGGGATCATCAACAAATCAGCTTTTCAGAACTGGCTGGCAAGTTCTTAATTTTCAATTATTCTAAGCTTGTGGAAAATAATTGATTTGAAATAGTATGGTGTCCTTCCAAATTAAACAATGAAATTAATTGTTTGTTACGCAAGGAAAAAGTGTGCAATTCATTAATGAATACTGATTGAACAGGTGCAGAAAAAGGTTACTGGAATCAAATAGAATGAAGAAGTTCTAAAGAGAAAGAACGATGTCAACAGCTGTGTTAATTAATTAATTCACAGAAAAAAAAAAATACTTTGCTTTTGTAATTTCTAACACAGATCAGTTATGAAAATTTTGCAGGAAGATATCTGCAATGAACGCGATAAACTAGCATCTAGGTTGAATGATTACAAAACAGCCATAGAAGAGCTCGACAGGCTTCTCTCTTCGATCATGTTTGTTGTTATCGTTATTGTCTGGTTACTTATGATGGGAATTTTAAAAACAAGAGCACTTCTCTTGATTTGTTCTCAACTTGTGCTAGCGGCATTCATGTTTGGTAACTCTCTGAGGACCGTATTTGAGGCCATCATATTTGTATTTGTGATTCATCCTTTTGATGTCAGTGATCGTTGTGTCATAGATGGAGTACAGGTGAATTACTAAATCTATAATTTACATGCTTCTGTACAATCAGAAGATCAATTGCTTGATGTATTAATTATCTTTTACAGATGGTTGTTGAAGAGATGAATCTCCTGACAACAGTCTTTGAAAGATATGATAATGAGAAAATATACTATCCAAATTCAGTTCTGGCTACAAAACCCATCGCCAACTTTTATAGGAGTGAAAAGTTTATCGGTGATACTTTAGAGTTTGCCATCGATGTTTCCACTCCGGCAGCCCTAATTAGGGATCTTCAACAAAAAATTGAAAGGTATGTTACATACTTTCTCATGAAAAAAATCTTGTTCAAATTTTGACATTATGTACTCTGTTTTGATATTACTCACAGCTACATGAGAAAGAGCACGGATTTAAATCAAGAACCAAAACCCAGCGTGTTCGTTAAGGACTTCGATGATGCAAATGGGATCAAAATGATTATCTATTTTGCTCATGCTGCAAACTTCCAGAAATATCTAGAGATTAGGTACAAACAGAGGTCTGAGTTGATCTTAAAACTGAAAGAAATTATGGAACAACTTGAAATCAAATATCACATTGTGTCTGTCCGTGTCATTGAAAAATAGTTGGCATGAGCTTCTGCTCGATTGTTGTCCTTTTCTTTTTGTTTCCGTAGAAGTTCTACTTTCTTCGTTTGGATGTAATTGCTGTAATTTCATCAGTACTCATTCCCCTGTTATTCACTCTTAAAACTTTGTTGATGGTTGAGTCAATTGTAGTCCTCAAGACT